TGTGACACCTCCCTGCAGGTGGACACGCTCAATGCGGAGCTGGCCGGCGAGCGCAGCGCGGCCCAGAAGAGTGAGAACGCGCGGCAGCAGCTGGAGAGGCAGAACAAGGAACTCAAGGCCAAGCTGCAGGAGCTGGAGGGCTCTGTCAAGTCCAAATTCAAGGCAACAATTTCTACTCTAGAAGCCAAGATTGCACAGCTTGAAGAACAGCTCGAGCAGGAAGCCAAGTAAGGGGACAAGACCTGGTTGCCTGTGGGGGTTGAATGGCTGGAAGTTCCATGCTGGATGTTTCTGAAGGACCTTGGGTGTATTGCCTGGAGACTCCTGTTCAGGGAATAAACTTTAACAAGGCAGCTGTAGAGTAACTGGGGCTGGGAGCTCCAGAATGGATTTGCTTCCTAACAGCTGCATGAACTCTGTAAGGTGTTGATGTCCCAGAGCCACAAGGTGCTGCAGTAGTTTCCTGGGACAAGGTGAAATGTCCCCTGGGTGCTTGGTTAGAGGAACAGCTTATGTTGGACAGCTTGAGATGAATCCTGTGCTCTCCAGAAGTCTTTCTTTGGTGAATTACCCATCTGTCCTTGAATCCTATTCTCAAAATTCACTTCTGTAGCTGGTTTGCAGGTGGAGCTTGTCCCTCCACTGCCTCTGTCCTTTCTGTGCTCTGGGCTCTGCAGCAGGATTGTGTTACTGGTTAAGCAGCAACTTTAAAGCTGCTCTGTCCAATCTCCTTGTGAAGCCAACCCTCTGAGTCCTCTTTGTGCTGTGGTCACATTGCCCCAGGGCTAAGGCTTTGTGCTCTGAGAGCTGCATCCCTGTATTTCTGCATCCCTACATCCCTGCATCCCAGCCAGCCCCAGCACATGCATCAGTTGCATTGCTGTCTGGCACGCCCAGAGCTCTGTACCAGGGGGCAGATCAGGTGTTCCTAGCCCTCAGGCAGTGGCACCAATGCTGGTTTTGGGCTGTTGCAGGGAAAGAGCAGCTGCCAACAAGCTGGTGAGGCGCACGGAGAAGAAGCTGAAGGAGGTGTTCATGCAGGTGGAGGATGAACGGCGCCACGCGGACCAGTACAAGGAGCAGGTGGGTGGGGGCTCAGTGAAACCTCCTGGGGTGGGAAGGGCTGGTGAAGAGGAACTGTAATGGAAAGGGAATTAGAGGGGTGATTAAACCAGCAGGAAAAGCCCAGCAGGGATTGTGTGTGAGTGAGTGTGTGTGTGTGTGTGTGTGTGTGTGTGTGAGCTCTGCTGGGACAGGCTCTCCCAGGCTCTGTGGTGTTCCAGGGTCCAGGCTGGAGCCTGAATGAGTTTGTGCTCCACCCCCAGTCAGGGCTGTGCTGCTTCCCCAGTCAGGGCTGTGCTGTATCCCCAGTCAGGGCTGTGCTGCATTCCCAGTGAGAGCTGTGCTCCATCCCCAGTGAGGGCTGTGCTCCATCCCCAGTGAGGGCTGTGCTGTATCCCCAGTCAGGGCTGTGCTGCATTCCCAGTGAGAGCTGTGTTCCATCCCCAGTGAGGGCTGTGCTGTATCCCCAGTCAGGGCTGTGCTGCATTCCCAGTGAGAGCTGTGCTCCATTCCCAGTGAGGGCTGTGCTGTATCCCCAGTCAGGGCTGTGCTGCATTCCCAGTGAGAGCTGTGCTGCATTCCCAGTGAGGGCTGTGCTGTATCCCCAGTCAGGGCTGTGCTGCATTCCCAGTGAGAGCTGTGCTGCATTCCCAGTGAGGGCTGTGCTGCATTCCCAGTCAGGCTGCAGCTCTGGGGTGACCCCGGGTGCTGGTTTGGTTGCAGATGGAGAAGGCCAACGCCAGGATGAAGCAGCTGAAGCGGCAGCTGGAGGAGGCAGAGGAGGAGGCCACGCGCGCCAACGCCTCGCGGCGCAAGCTGCAGCGCGAGCTGGACGATGCCACAGAGGCCAACGAGGGGCTGAGCAGGGAGGTCAGCACCCTCAAAAACAGGCTAAGGTCAGTGCCCTGGAACGCTGGGACTGAGATTGACCTGAGCCCACAGAGCCCCCTGGGGAACATCCAGCTGGGGAGCGCCTGGGGTTAGGGATGGCTCAAGCTGGAGCCATGAGAATGAGAACAAGAATAATCTTGTTCTCATTACCATGGCTCATTACCATGAGCCATCAAACTGGAGCCATGGTAATGAGAACAAGAATATTCCATGGGGATATTCCTGACAGCTGCAGGGATGGGTGGAATATTGGGAAGGGAGGGTGGGCAGGCCCTGGCACAGGGTGCCCAGAGCAGCTGTGGCTGCCCCTGCATCCCTGGCAGTGCCCAAGGCCAGGCTGGACAGAGTTTAAAGCAGCCTGGGACAGTGGGAGGTGTCTCTGCCATGGCAGGGGTGGAACGGGCTGAGCTCTAAGATCCCCCCAGCCCGTGCCGTGCCCCTGGGCGGGCCCGGGCGGTGCAGGAGCCTCTCCCAGCGCCGCTCTCCGTCCGCAGGAGGGGGGGACCCATCACCTTCTCCTCGAGCCGCTCGGGCCGGCGGCAGCTGCATATCGAGGGTGCCTCGCTGGAGCTGTCGGACGACGACGCCGAGAGTAAAGGCAGCGACGTGAACGAGGCTCCGCCAGCCCCCGCCGAGTAGCTCCGGCCCCGCCTGCATGCAGAGACCTTTCCAGCCCCGCAGGAGCGCCCCAGGAGCGCCCTGCCCTGCCCTCGGAACTGCCTTGTGGCCGGAAAGCTGCCTTACGACCCTCGGCATGTGCTACAAGGTTCCTTATCATAGGTCAACCATGTCTTAAGGCTCTCCAGCCTCACCACACTGTACCCTGCTTCAGATATAGGTACAACTGCTTTTTTATATATAGTAAACAACCGGGATCGTCTCTGTTCAGTGCATCTCTTTTCCAGATACTCATTGTAAAGCCATTTTATAAAGCATCATGTGAAGGATGAAACTTTTTTTTTATCGATCCAGAAGCGTCATTCCCAGCGGGTGGGGGGCCAGGACAGACCCCTTGCCGTGGCTGTGCATGCCTTGTGTCCAGCAGCATCCTTCAGGCTCCGGGCTGGCCACAGCCTCTCGGATCAGTGAAGACCAAACCGCTCCCGTTTCTTTCTTTTCTCCCAATTGTTGTGATCCGCACACGACCCCTGAGTGAACTGTGAAAAACGGCCTTGGGAAGTGTTAGAGGGAAGTGTAGGGATGAGTGAGTAGTGTCCGTTTTTATCCTGCAATCCCATTTGAAGTGTTCTCAGCTCCATCCGTTCGTGTCCATGCAGTCCAGGCACACTGAGGTGGGTCCCGTCCCTGCACAGCCCGTGTAGCTCAGAGCCCCCCAGGCTGGGAGAATGTGAACACCAGTGGGAAATAAACACACAGCACAGGCAAAACTAATTTATTAATGTGAGGCCAAGCCAGGCCGTGGGGGCCCTCGGTCCTATGGGGCTCCTGCCCTGGATGGATGGATGTTGCCTGCCTACAGTTAACATGCCAGTGGATGTGAATCCTTTTTTTTGTTGTTGTTGTTGTTTTGTTGTTGTTTTTTTTTTATTTTGAGCAGTATTACAGTGAGTAGTTAGCATTTTTTGTTTAAATAGCTGAAAACTGACATTACAGAAAGTGCCTTAGACACTACAGTACTAAGACAACGTTACATATATAATTTGCCTATATAACAATGATTTAATGTATTAATTTTGACTGTGCTTCATATCATGTACCTCTCTAGTCCAAGTGGTATTATTGATATTAGTGACAATGAATCAGTGTTAACTAGGAAACTTCCTCTGCCACATGCTCAAAACCCATGGATTTCCCTTTTTGGTTAAAAGCTTTAACATCTGTCGCAAAGGTTTTGTTGTGTGTATTTGGATATTTTTAATCAAACTGGCTGTTGACCACCAGGCGTCTGACTGCAAATATCTTGTTTTCTTGTATACCCATATTTCTAGACAATGATTTTTGTAAGACAATAAATTTATTCATTATAGATGCGGCCGCCTGCTCTGTTTACTTACTGGAAGAGCTCTCCCGAGGCTGGCATAGACCTATTAATAAACGAGATATGACTGGAAGCTGCATTTTCCCTTCTTCCTCTTTTGTTTGCTTGCTTTTTTTTGGTTTTTGTTTTTTTTTTTTTTTTAATTTTATTTTGACCTAAATACAGCATCAATGGCTTGGTCTGAGCTGAGCCTTTGCCTTTGAATGCCACTGGCAGGGCCCAGCTGGAGCACAAAGAAACTCTGAGCCATGGCACAGGGTCTGGGCTCCTGCCTGAGCAGTTACATCCCATATTTTGGGGCCTTGGGGTGCAGAACCTGCCCTGGGGCTGGGCAGGAGCTGGAGTCCAGGGTGGGAGGTTTTGGCTGGGTTTGGGACGAGGGTGGGACAGATGGGAGGGGAGGGCAGTAATGGGGAGAGGGGGTGGCTATGGGGAGGGTTACCCCACTGGGCTGGGGGGTGAGGCTCTGGCAGGACTCCAGAGGAATGGGATGGGCTGCAGGGGTGTTAGTGTGGGGCCAGGGACTCCAGGACAGGGGCAGAACACGGGCACAGCCCCAGGCACTGAGGGGATGGAGCAGCCCTGGAAGGGAAGGAGCAGGCTGGGAAGGGAAGGATGGAGCAGCCCTGGAGGGATGGAGCAACCCAGGAAGAGATGGAACAGCCCTGGAAAAGATGGAACAGCCTGGGAGGTGATGGAGCAACCCAGGAAGGGAGGGAGCAGCCCGGGAGGGGAAGGAGCAGGCCGGGAAGGGTCCCAGCCCAGCTCCTGTGCCCAGCAAACTCCTTCCAGCTGCTCTAAGGAAGTAAAAATCCCCCGGAAGTCTCAGCTGGAGGCTTCCAAGACTTCCCCAAGTGAAATATTGTGTCTCCTCCTCAGTGCCAGTAGCAAGGCTGGGATGGCCCCAGCAGTGCCCAGTGCCCTCTGCCCAAACTGAGCAACATTCCCAAGGGAAGGGGTGTGGGATAATGTGGCGCTGCTTGAACACTGCCCTCCCCGGGGCTTGGCAGAAAACCCTGCTGGACAAAGTAAGAGCCACGGCCACTGGTTCTGCAAAATCCACTGATTCCACATTAAAAGAACTTTATTTTTGGAAGATTACTCTCATTTGTTTTCATTCTTTTGAAACCACATCATGTCAGTGGTACCAGGGTGGAACGGTACATCCTATGGAAACATGCCAGAGAGAGGCTGAATAAATAAAGCTACAAAGCCCAAGTTATGTACAAAGACCTCAGGCAAAGGTATTATGTTTACAAATCTATGTACAATAAAACAAATGTAAACAGTCAAATGCAGCAGAGGATGCACAGGAAGGAAGGACCATACAAACCCTAATGGCAAAGGGACAATCCCACCTCCACTGCTGGGCCAGTGGGGTTTTTTTCTCAGCATTTAATTCAACCACCTGGGAGCTGCAGAGCCCCGGACCGATGACTGCTGAACCCTCAGCTCCAACCCTGGCTCCATTTGCTGGATCAGAAAAAAAATCCACTAACTCTGAGGCACATGGACAGAGAAACCACACAAATGTGCTGCCTGAAAGACCCACAAGGTTCAGTCACCCCAAAGTGTCAGAGCAGCCTCCAGGTGAGGCTGCACAGTCCAGTCCTACAGCACAGGGGTGATGGACAGGGGGAGCAGCAGCTTCCTAAAGCTCCCATGGGGTCGCTGTGAATGGGGTGAGGGATGGAGGCCAGCAGGGCCAGGGAGCTGTGGGGCAGCCCTGGGCACACCTGAGGGCACAGCCCTGCCCTGGGCACACCTGAGGGCACAGCCCCTGGCCACAGCACTGCCCACCTGCTCCAGGGAGAACAGCTCAGCCATGCCAGGCCCAGCTGGGGGCTGGGATGGGCACAGTGCCTGGCTTTGTGTGTGCGTGTCCAGGTGTCCAGCTGTCCAGTGGGGATGGAACTGGCCTGGCCAGGCTGGAGCTGCTCACCCAGCCCTGCTGTGGCTGCCCCTGAGACAGCACCTGGGGCTGTACCCAAGTGCCAATGGCCCTAGGGCCACCAGTGGCCACCCCAGGGCACTTCCACGAGGTCTGAGAGAGCAGCTGCAGGGCCTGGCAGGGGCAGGGCAGAGGAGGGGACAAGGCTCTGTCAGACCTAAGTGAGAGGAGAGGGAAAGCCAAGGGGGCAAGGCTGGGCCTGGCCCCCAGACAGAGCAGGACTCAGTGTCCCCAAGCACAGCAGGACTCACTGTCCCCCAGGCAGAGCAGGACACTGTCCCCAAGCACAGCAGAGGTGGCAGCTGGCGGGGCCGGGGCAGAGAACGTCCACTACAGCGAGAGCAGAAAACAAACTGTATTGACAGGACATGGAGGGCCGTGGGCTCGGGGTCTCCTCTCAGGCCATGTTCCAGCAATGGGGTGGCAATGGGGAGGAATCAGGAGCAGTTCTTCTCGAGGTGGGCTGAGAAAAGCATCCAAGTCCAAGCCCTGGGGGCTCATACGCTCAGGGGGAGCATTCCCGGTGCCGAGGACGGGCGGGAGCCCCCCAGGCCAGGGGGGCCTTGGTCAAAGCCATTCACTGCCCTGGGGACAAGAGACAGCCCGTTAGGGGAGCAGCAGCCAGCACAGGCACTGCAGTGACCCTGCTCCTCCCTCCTTCCCTCCTCCATCCCTGCCAGCAGGGCAGGATGGGCCCAGCTGGATGCCCATGCCAGGGCTGGAGCTGGCACGGCCTGGCTGAGGTCACTGTGCCAGGGGGACGAGCGGCCACAGAGCCTGAGCCTGCTGGGGCTCACCAGGGGCTGAGCAGGGTCAGGGCAGCCCTCAGGGCATCCCCACCTGTCCCTGCCCTGGCACTGAGTGCTCTGTGTCAGAGCCCAGCCACAGCCCTGTGTCCCCATGCCCAGGAGGGGACACACACACACACACACTCAGCAGTGTCCCAGCTCCGTGTCCCTGTGCCTGGGAGGGGACACACACACACACACACACACACACACACACACACACACACACACTCTCTCTCTCAGCAGTGTCTCAGCCCAGCAGAGCTGGCTCTGTGCCCCACAGTCCCCACAGGGCTGCAGGGGAGGCTCCCAGTGCTGAACCACAGGATGCAGTGGCTCCCCCTCCCCAGTGTCCTGCTGGAGCTGTGCAGCTCCTGCCTTCCCACAGTAGCCTGTGGGTCCAGCAGCTTTTCCACATCTCCTGGGAGCTCCTGCCAGCCAGGAGCAGCATTCCCTGCTGGAAATGTCCCTGCACTGGCTCCTCAGGGATGTTTCTGGCTGCCTGTCCCTGCAGTGCCACAAGCTTTGTGTCCATGTCCAACCACTCTCTGCCCTGATTACTAATTTGGACTCATTAATCATTAATCTGCGTTTCAAGCTGTATTTTGTACTTAGCACCTCACGCCCAAGACTCCCTCAGCTCTAAATATCCAACAAATCCTGGGTGGAAGATTTTCCTGGGGCTGACCAGCCTGGCCTGAAGGAGAAATGGACCTGCTAAAGCACACCTGGAACTGCCCCAGGTGCTCCCAGCTGCCACAGCTGGGCAGGGACAGTGACACAGAGCAGGGACACTGCTGTCCCCACCCACACTGCCCCTTCCTGTGCCCTTGTTTGCTTTCCTGCCAGCCACAACCACACCACTGCACATCAGCAGGTCAAGAACCACAAAATGCTGGAGGAAAATCCCAAGCAGAGGACAAACCTTCCACATGAACTCCATCCATGAAACCTCACTTCCCCTACGCCCCTGCTGTGACCAGTTCCATCAGAAACATGCACTTATGGAAGTATTAAACAGAATATTAAACAGAATTAAACAAAGCAAGCAGCACTAAGGCTTATGTTTGCAACAGGTCACAGCAGCAGAGAGGTTTATTTCAAGTCAGGAGAAAGAGCAATTGCACTCAGGCTTTGACCAGGGCCCATTAGTGTGGCACTACCAACTAGCTCGTGCAGTTAGCAGAGCCCCAGCCCTGCCCCAAGCCCCAGGTTACACCACATGCAGCCAATCAGTGCAAATGAATTCATTTACCCATGACCAAGGTGGGGAATATGACCTTCTCACGCCTAGTGGAGAGAAAGGGAAAGTTTATGCACACAAAAATGACATTCCTGAGCACAGAGCAGCTGGGGCCAAGCAAAGCTCTGCTGAGTGAGCTCTGCCCAGTGAGGCTGCTCTGCAGGGGCAGCACAGCACAGATCACTGCACCACACACAGCTCCCCTCTCCGAGGGAACCTTCCAATGGATCAGGGACTGGGAAAATACAGATCTCCCAGCCTGGAAAAACCCAGATTTCCCAGCCTGATATTGTGGTCAGGGCTGGGGGTACCAGTGCAGACACCTCTGAGTGCTGGGTGTGAGCACAGGCACTTCTCACATTGAACTTCAGCCCCTTCATTAAAACAAAGCCCAAGGGATTCACAAAATCAGCCAAGAATAAACATCAGCTGTGAGGACAGTCAGGACTGCAGAAGGGGAACAAGCACCTCAGGCTGGCTGTCCTGCAGAGCCCAGAGCAGTTCTGCTTCCTGGACAAAACTGGACTGACATTAACAACCAATTAACAATAATTACAACATCAAGATACAAGTATCCATCCTGAGGATCATCCTCAGGTGCTGTTCTGGCATCTGGACAGAACCTGCATGTTCCTGAAGGGACAAATCTGCAGGAAACTGATCTTATACCTGACACTGCTGAGTCTTTAACAAGCGGATAAACCCTGACTGCCCCAGGTCTGCAGCCAAGCTCTGGTGCAAGCCCTTGCTGTGCTCCAGGTCTCCCCTAAAGAGGAGGTTGACAAGAGCTGGAGACACCTCAGATATTTCAATGAAATGGCAGAGCAAACAGAGCTGTAACAGAGCTGTAATGGTGTGGCTGAGTTATCTGTGCCCAACCCAGCACTCAGCCACCAGCTACTCCTGGGGCAGTGACTGCAGAGTGGAGCAGGGCTGTGCTCACAGCTGGGGCAGAGTCACATCTGGAGCAGGGTTACATTCACACCTGGAGCAGAATTACACCTGGAGCAGGGCTGCACTCACCCCTGGGTCAGGGTTACTCTCACACCTGGGTCAGGGTCACACTCACCCCTGGGTCAGGGCTGCTCCTCCAGTGCAGCTGCCAGGGCCCAGCCAGGCTTTCCAGAGCAGCCCTGGAGCACAGCACCGGCACTGCCAGCCCTGCTGGGCACAGAGTGTCTCAGGGACAGCCTGCTGGGAGGAAATGCTGCAGCCCAGGGGCTGAGGGGACAAGGACAGGACAGGGGGCCATGCAGCACCTCTGGCCACTTGCAGATAAGCACATGAACACTTCCAGCCCTGTTCCTGTCCCTGCCACCCTCAGCTCTGCTGCAGCATTTCCTTCCAGGCCTTCCCAGCCTGCTCCTCCCTCCAGGCAGCCAGCCCTGGATAAGGAGTGTGATGACAATCTGCATAATTAAAAGTGACCCCCACCCTGAGAGCAATCAGCTTATTGTCCCAGCATACCTCAATATAGCCCTGATGCCTGCCAGGAGCTGCCATAATCCCTGCCCAGCACCTCCCTGCAGCTGCAGGAGCACTGCTGGGGAGGGACAGCCCACCCGGCAGCTCACACAGCCCCAAAGGCTGATCTGCACGGCAGTTCAAGGCTCTCAATCTTTCCTTTCCAAACACCAGCAGCTGCAGAAGCTCCCAGGGCCAGTTTTTAGGATGCATCTTGTCCTGTTTCCCTCACAGCCCCGCTGAGGATGGATATGGGGAGCTCAGCTGGCTGCTCTGGCACTTCCAGGTTGAAATATCCTCTAAAATAAATGCAGGATTGGGGAAGTGCTGACTATCAGCACTGAACTGCACTGAGATTTAATATGCAGGGAGCATGGAGGCTGTTTGCCCTCAGCATCACTGGAGAACCCTGTGCTTTCCACCTCTGTGGCCCTGAGCAGTGAGGAACTGGGGAATGCCTCCTGCAGCAGCACTGCCAGCATCCCAGAGGGAGCTCTCAGCACACACACACACGGAGTCCTTGTTCCCAGGATGGCCCACAGCAGGGAGGAGCCAAACTCCATCACCAATGGTTCATCCTCCCCTCCTGGAGGGGGTGTGAGCTCCAGGACTCCCTCCCTCCTTCCAGGGAACATTCCTGCCTGCCCTGGCTCTGAGGGGGAATCTCCAGCTGTGGTTGTGCACCTCCCCAGAGCACACCTGCAGCTTGGGCACCCCCTCCTCTGCCCCTGAGATGCCCATTCCTCAGTGCCTGGGGTTGGCACAGCCACCAGATCAGGCAGATGCCTTTAGAGGGCTCATTCCCCACTTTCTGGGCTTGGTACAGCCACCAGGAGATGGGACAGATGCCCATAGAGGGCTCAATGGCACTCATTCCTCACAGCCTGGGGTTGGCACAGCCACCAGGTGATGGGGCAGGACTGGCACTGCCACTGCAGGGCACAGCAGTGCCTAACTCACCCCTGGCCAAGGCAGGAGAGGGCACAGCAGTGCCTGATACTCCTTGCCAGAGCAGGAGAGGGCACAGCAGTGCCTGATTCACCCCTTGCCAGAGCAGGAGAGGGCACAGCAGTGTCAGACTCACCCCTTGTCAAAGAAGGACGTGTGCCCTGGGTGTGGGTACTTGGTGCCGTTGCTGCTCAGCATGGCGCTGCTGACGTTCCCTGAAATGTAGGATTTCCGTGATGCCTGGTCCTTTGCAAAGTTCCTGCAAGCAGCTAATTTGGATTCTAAGGCCTGTGAAAGGGGAGGAAAGGACAGTGTTAAAGAAGTGACACCATGAAGAGGGAAGTGTTTTGCTGCTCATGAGCCTCAGGTTGCCATGATCAGGACTCCAGTGTGATCACCCTTGGCAAAAAAACGGGAACAAAGCTGTCATTGCCTCATCACCCCACCACAAAGGAACACACAGATGCTGATGCAGACTGCCAGACATTACTCAGCTCCACGAGGGCTCAGATTCGAGAACAGACGAACTCTGAAATAATTACCCAAGATAAGGAAGCCAAATCCCAGCAGAAGTTACCCAGAAGTTACCCTCTGCAGCTGCCCTGAACTGATCAGAGCACTGAGAGCCTAAAGCAGAATCCTCAAGCTTTGAGAGGGACTGTGCATGTGGAAAGTTATTTTTTTTCACCAGGACAATGTCTCCTGGAATTTCTTTCTTAATCTTGGCTTGCAAAATAAAGTCAATTTCTAAAGTTTCACTGCCACCCTTCCAAAGAGGCCTGGTGAGGTTTCTTTCCCCCCATGTAAAGTGCCAGTGACTCCTGGAAGGAGGAGCAACATCCTGATTCTGTCCTTTAGTCCAGAGCATCACCTGCCCTTTCTGCCCTCATCAGATGCTGAATATCCACCTTATCCTGGAGATCCACGTGGTGTACCAGACAGCCCTCATTCATTACAGCTTTCAGAACATTGCAAATGCCTGCACTGGGAACTGAAATCCATCTCCCCAAATGTGGGCTTTGCTCCTGCTCTGCACAGAATATTGTATTAAGAGGGCACTGACATGCTGCCACTGGTGATTGAGCCCTGGGCACACTCCTATAGGAATCCCTGGAAGTTTATTTAGGGGTTATGGACTATGCAGGCAGCTGTAGACAGCTCTGGGTGTCACAGATTGTCCCCTGGCCACAGGCAGTGTCACCTGAGCCCTGTCTCAGCTGCAGGCAGGGGAGCAGAGGGGAAACCTCCTGCAGAGACAGGAGGACAAAGCTTGGGATGGGGCACAGCCAGACCCCAAAGAACTGAGCAGCCCCTAAGTGCTCCAGAGCCCTGTCCCAGGGCCAGCGTGGCTCAGGCAGGCTGGAGAGCAGCTTGCTTATTTGGCATTTCCTGTCCTGGCAGAGTAATCACAGGGATTGGCACTAAGCTCCCCAAATCCCCTGCAGCCTCTTGCTCACAATGATCCCCTGTGAAACGTGTCACTGCTAACCCCAGCTGTCCTGCTGCCCTTTCAAACCAGGCCTGAGCTCCAAGGGGAGCAGCCAGGGCATTTTTCATGTCCAAACCTGCTAAAACAACTGTGTGAGCTGTCTGCAGTGCAGCTCCTGGCAGGCTCCAGGGGCACAGGGCACAGCCAGCCACAGCTGCCCTGAGGTCCTCTCACACTCCAACCTCCACAGCTCAGAGCAGCTCCTGGCAGCTCCAAAGTCATTTCTGCTTCCACAGGGAGAGCCTGGGTCCTGAGCAGCACTGCAGCAGATGTTGAGAGCAGTTCTTCTCTGTTGACAGTGTAATCCCTTTAAAGGCTCATGCATTTCACTTCCCCACCAGGCAAAGATGGGAGCATTTGGCTTTCTCCTAATTTATTTTCTCACTTTCTTACCAAAGGTTTTCAGGCTGGTTTTTCTTTCAGTGTCTGTGGCAGATCTCAGTGGCAGAGGAGCTGTCCCACCCTGGCAGGGAGATCCCAGCTCCTGCTCACCCAGGGCCTGAGCTCCAGCTCTGCAGCCCAGGCAGAGGAAGCTGCAGGCCCAGCTAAGGTAAGGACAAGCTGGCCGTGTCTAACCCAGCACTTGAAAAATTGTTATTCCAAATGTGAATTTTGTCATCCCAAATTTGATTCAGAACCATAGGATCAGGCTTTAAAAATCAAAATAATTTTAAAAATAAAGCATTGTCAAATACTAAGCAGTGAATGGATGATCTGGCAGCTCCAGAATGCAGCCAGCAGGGCCCAGGCTGTGTTGTGGCTGAGCACAGGGACAGCAGCCCCAGGGACAGGCAGAGCTCAGCACTCACCCCCACTTTGCGTAGCAGATCTCCCACAATGTTGAGTGCAGATATTCGAGCTGAAGGAGTGAGTGGGCTGGTTCCAAACCCATTTGGTATAGCTGCAAACACAGACACCTCTCATTACTTCACTCCTCCACAGCCCAGGTTCTTCAAAAATTTAAATACATCAGCTTCTACATTAAAAACAAACCCCAAACACATCTACAGTCTTGCTGCAGACATTTCATACAATCACCCATGGTAACTGCAGGATCACTAGGCAGGGAGGATGATAAAGTTTAATTCCTGCCCTGGCTGCCATCAGCCCCCCCCAGCAGAGTTCATGCCCTCTCCATCTGCAAGGCTACTGACTGCAATCCATCCCAGCAGCCAGAGCTGCCTCTGAAACACCCACTGTTAATCCCTGGGACAGCCCAGAGCCCTCCAGATGGGAAAGGGGCTGGGCTGAGATCCCACTGCCCCACACAGACCCCTGGGAAGTCACTGTGGTGACAGAGACTCCAAATTCCTGACCAGGCTCACCCACCACTGCCGCTGCACATGGAGCAGAATTATCAGTCCCTGCACTCCCCTGCACTCCCAAGTATCTGCAGGGCCTCAGTGCAGGGTGCAAACCCTGCCTGTCCCCAAAGGCAGTCCCCAACCTTCACTGTCCTCTGAAAGCCATGAAAAGCTTCTTTGAAAGGAATAATCAAAGAAACAGGAGAAAAGGATGAGAAGAACACGATAGCATCTGGCTCTCAGAGATGTACCAAGGATGTGGGAAAGAGCCAGCCCAGAGTTCCTTTTCCCCCAGCCCAGAGCTCCTTTTCCCCCCAGCCATGTTCCAAAGCTGAGCATTAATCAGTAAATTTACTCCTGAAATGCACTGCTGCTACCCTGGGATCACACACACACTTGGAAATGTGTGAGATCCACACCCCATCCACCTCTAGTTCCTTAAGGAGCACAACCAGACCCCATTCCTGTGGATGGTACCTTTTGGGGAAGGAAAACTATTTTCTGATCCTTTTCCAACGGGTGTGGCTGGCAAGGAGAGAGAGGCCTGGACAGCTGAGTCCATCTTCTCACAGTCCAGAGTGGGGGAGCTGGGAGCTGATTTCCGTGTCACCTCCTGCTGCCTTTCCCTCACAGCCAGCTCCTGCCGCAGGTCTGAGGGTTGAGAGAAGGAAAAAAAACCATAAAATCCCTTATTAGTGATTGACAAACTCACAAACAGTCTCTCTGTTCATTTGAGAGGGGCAGCAGCAGGAAATTCCCACCAATCCTGGGTTGGTGCCTGCTGCTGCTTCCCCCAGGAGTGGAGACAGTGCTCAGAGCAGCCCCATCCCATTATCCCACCCCATTATCTCATCCCATTGTCCCACCCCATTGTCCCATCCCACTCCATTGTCCCACCCCATCATCCCCCCATTGTCCCACCCCATCCCTGCCTGCCCCACACAGCTCCTGTCCCTGGCATGGGAGCAGCTGATTTACATCAGGATTTTTCCCCATTTGCAGTGTGTGCTCCACATTCCCAAAACTGCAGCTGGACACAAAGAGGAGCTGCTGCTGCTGCTGCTCGGCCCAGCTCCTCCTCAATCCCAGCCTGGGAGAACAGAGCAGTGATCTGTTCCTGTGCTTCCCCTTCCCTGCATTCTCCTCCCAGTTAATAATGCACACAAGCCAAAGGCAGTCCAAGGGTTGCAGCCAATTTCTTGATGCCCTGACAAGTCAAAGATCAGACTGGAGGGCAGTCTAAAGGACTGGGCCTTAGAAAAGCCTGGCTTTATTCTCACTTCCTCCCCAGACTGCAGTTTATCCCTTCCCCTTTCACAGTTTTTTGCTACCAGGAACACCCAGCCCAGCCCAGCAATGGGTCTCTCAAATCCTCAGAAAGATGCAAACAAACATTCCAAGTGAGTTGTTCCTTTTTGGGCCAGAGTAACTTCACTTTCACAGAACTCCTATTCCTTGCCTCAATCTGGTACAAAAGCAAAATTACCTGCACATAACAGCTTTAAAGCTGTAACAAATATTTAGAGCTGATTTTAGGTAAAACAGCAGAGCTGAAGTGAAAATCTGCCTGGGCTCCCAGAAGAGGATCTGAGGCTGTTCAATCAGAAATGTCATACTGGAGTTGGACTGTACCAGCTCTTTTAGGATCTGAGGCTGTGCAATCAGAAATGTCATATTGGAATTGGACAGTACCAGTTCTTTTAGGATCTGAGGCTATTCAATCGGAACTGTCATATTTGATTTGGACAGAACCAGTTCTTTTAGAGGCTATTGTTCCTGCTTCCTGCCAGGGGGAATAACTCACAAATGCTAAAAATGTCCAAATGACTCATCTAAGAAACAAGATGTCTGTTTTACTGATTGTTCCAGTGTTCTAGAAAACAGTCCCCTGGGTTTTGCTGGTTTTTCCAGTTTTATTGCTCTAATATCACATTACAATACATATACTCCCTCAGAAAATTTATTTCTTCACATTTATTTCAAAATTCCTGTGCTTCCAATACAATTTCTGGGGCACAGATTTGCTTCAAAAAGGTTCATAGAGGAGAAAAACAACAAAAGATGCCAGCCTGCTGTCAGGTGTGTTCTTACACTGAGCTCCAGGCCTTAAATGAGGAATATTTTAGAAAGCTTCATTTAGGGAACAAAGTTTCAAACCACCAACCTCTAAAGCCATTATCGGCTGGCACAGGCTGATGAGCAGAAACCTCCACTGTTAGAGAAATCAGTTTATAGCACCAGTAAAAATGCTTCCCCAGAATCCTCAGTGTGAAATCCACTGGGGAACTCCTGATCTTATCCCAGGACACCATCCCAAACATCTCCCACAGGTTTAAACACAGCTTTTACCAGAACATCTTAAATAATACATTCAAGGCAATTTCCAAGGGGCTTAGAAGGAACACAGGAGAGATTTTTTTAAGAGTTACTTGATCATTTATCGTGTATTTCCCTGTCATTTCCTGTGCTTTCCCTTCCTGTAAACCCACAGCAAGAGGAACTTGTGAAGCAACTTCCTCAATTCTCTTACATCTGTGGAACAGAGTATTTTTGTGTTAAAAATCCTGAATTCATCAATTGTTAATTCTGCCCTAAATGAGGAAATTTTTCTTTTTGGCTACACTGGACATACAAAGAACACACTGTCAGTAAAACCTGAAGCATGCAGTTCAAGTCTCATCATGTGAGGCTTTCTAGAAACATGAGCTCTGCTTGTTGCACATCTCCTTTAGCAACCCAGCCCTGCACCAGGAGCCAGAACCAACCAAACCAGCCATACCTCTTGCTTCATCCTTTAATCTCTGTACAGAGACCAGCAATGACTCCTTGTCATCCAGTTCACTTTCTAAAAATGCATTTCTCTCAATAGCTTGGTTCAGCCTTTGTTCAAAGTCTTCCAATGAAACTATTGTTGCCCTAGAAACAAAACCCAGAATATTAGGTTCTTCAGCTCAGCCAGCATAAAAGCTTATTCAGAAGCATAACAGAAGGAAAATGTTAGCAGGGCTATGTTCAAGGGAAGCATCTGAAAGCCACGGAAATGCTGCTTAGGAAAGAGGTAATCAAAGAAACAGGAGAAAAGGATGAGAAGAACATGATAGCATCTGGCTCTCAGAGAGGTACCAAGGATGTGGGAAAGAGCCAGCCCAGAGCTCCTTTCTCCCAGCCCAGAGCTCCTTTTCCCCCAGCCATGTTCCAAAGCTGAGCATTAATCAGTGCACCAGTGTTGCAGACATATTTTCTGAAAAATCCTTTCATTAGGATCTTTTGTCCTGAGAAGCTGAGAAGCTTCAGCTTCCCCATGTTTTGCTGCTTTGGAATGTGATTTGGAGAACTGTTTACCCAGCATGTGAATTGTTTTTACTTGATGACCAATGACAGCCACCTGTGTCGAGGCTGTGAGCAGCCACAAGATTTTATTATCATTCTTTTCCTTTCTATTCCTTTCAAGCCTTCTGATGAAATCCTTTCTTCTGTTCTTTTAGTACAGTTTTAATATACAATTATAATATAATATAATATAATATAATATAATATAATATAATATAATATAAACAATATAACATAGCAGAACATAACATAACATAATACAATGTATCAGCCTTCTGAAACATGGAGTCGAGATTCTCATCTCTTCCCATGTCATGGTTGCCTGCAAACTCTACATTTGGTGACCCTGAGTGAGGAAAATTGGCACACCCCAGCTCAGGTGGGGCTGTGCTCTCAGGGCTCTGCACAGGCCCAGCCCAACCAGGTGGGCAGCAGAGCACTGGGACAGACCCAATTCCTCCCAAAACCAGTGCCAAAAGTTAGTCATGGGCTTAAGAGCCTAGTGCAAACAGGGCTCAGCTCTCAGACCTTTTCTCCAGAAGGCCAGAGGCTCATTCCTGCTCTCCCTGAATCAATGGCAGCGTTCCCACTGAGCAGAAGGGAAGCATGACCTCCTCCCAAAGTGGGTGTGGCCAGCTGCAGCCTGCTCATTGCAGCACTAGGACAGGGCAGGGCTGCTCCCTCCAGCTGCTCTGCAAGGCACCAGGACACTCCTCTGGCCTGCCTGATTGAACAGGACTATAGAAAGCAGGAGACTCTGACTTCAAAGGGGCTCTGAGGCAGCAGCACCACAAATACCAGTCACAAATATCAGGGGCAGTGCAGGGGCCTGGCTGGCTCTGGGCACAAAGCACACTTCTCCTCCTGCTGCAGCAGGAACCAGCTGGTGGGGCAACTGCACTGCTCAAAGAATCCCAAATCTTGGGGCTGTTTGGGGTTTTTCTGATATTTTCCCTTTAAGGAACAATGAAATGCTCGAGCTGAATAGCAAAGTTAAGATCTTTGCGGTGAAAATTCAAAGGGAAGAGAGGGTTTGCAGCCTTCACCTCTTGGCACGTTCCAGGTCATCGTTGGCCTGCTCCAGCTCCCTCACATACTTGTGTAGCTGGTCTTTGATGGCCCTTGTCTGGCTCAGGTCATCCTCCAACAACGACACCTGCTTGTAACTCTGGGCATACTGGTGCTCCAGTTTCTCCTGAAACAAAGCACAGGGAGATAAATATCAGCTACTGGCACTGACCAAGCCATCAGCACAAAAAGGCGACAAAAAAAGTGTCACTCTGTGTGCAGCATGCTGGTTTGGGAGTGCTGGTAATTCAGAGCAGAAACGGGAGAGGGAGAAGGAACAGGCTGTGAGCCTCAGAGCTGGCCCCAGTGCAGAATGGCACAGCTGCCTGTCAGGGATGCAGCCCTGCATCTGCTGCCATCAGCCTGCACTGACAGCTGCTCCAGGAGGGCAGGAAGACATCCAAATGCCCTGCCAGCCTCCCCTCTGTGCCTCTACCCTGCCATCTCTCTGTGCCCCTGCCCTGCCAGCCTCCCCTGAGTGCCCCTGCCCTGCCTGTCTCCCCTCTGTGCCCCTGCCCTGGCAGCATACACCCCAAATGCAGAAATTCTGATGTGTCTATTGGCAAAAATGGGCCACTGAAATTGTCACAAAACCTCCAGGCCCACAGAAGAATTCACTGCCAAAAACCCTCTGAGGGCCTATGGAGAAACTCCTGAGCTCCTAAAACACATCCTGACCCTGCAAGTGCAGCTGGGACTGGAGACACCAAGCAATCCCATAAACCCTCATTCCACTGAGTGAATTTCTAACCTCTGTCTTCACTAAATAAGCCAAGACTGCCCAAAATGATTTTTCAAGATTACAAGAGAGGCAAGAACCTGTTAGCACAGAGGCATCAATTGAGAGCCACCTTTTGCAGATCCTTCAGCAATTCCTGGCTCCACAGATACAGCTGTGAATGGACTGGAGGCTCCCTGAAAATGGGCACAAATCACCCAATTCCTGCTTTCTTTGGGGTCTCATGAAACCAGGGAGACCCTGAGGGCACCAAGACTGGTTTGCAAGGAAAGGTGACAAGGCAGTGGCCTGGCAAACCCCCTGTGCTGTGCCCTGTTGCTATGCTGCTGTTCCTTGTGGAACAAATAAAGCTCCTCCTTGGCACAGCCTGGGGAATTCAAAGCAGCACAAACTCCAGGACCAAGTTTCATGACGTCTGAATGAGAAAAATTCCGCCAGAAACGTCCCTGGCCTTATTTGGGTACATGCCATGCTTCAGTGTGGATCTTAACCAGACATCTCCTTTTTAATTTGGATATTCAGTGTCCAAGAGCAGCCCAGAAATCCAAGAAGAGATCCAAGATGAGCTGAAAGGAAAAGCAGCACTACCACACAGAAAACCTACCTTTAATGTTTCCACTTCATATTTCAGTCTTTGGTTATCTGCTTGCAAATCTCTGTTCCTCTGCTCAGCTTGTACTAGCTGTGCCTCCAACTCAGCCTCTAATTCCCTGCTTCCCTCCTGGAACTCAGCCAGCTCTTCACGAGCCTCCTGGAAGCTGCAAGGAGAGGATTGCATCAGTGGCAAAGCCAGCATCTCCCAAGTTACAACAAAACTGCAGCTCTTCTCAAAGAAAAAGCTGAAAAACATGAGTTTTAAAGCACCTAAGTGTCAGCCATAGGCCTCTAAGGGGGAAAAGAAAAATGGGAAAATAGAGAAATTGCATTAAGCTAAGCTATTGAAGGAAATGAATTCTCTTACATCAAACCCAGCAGCCACCTGGAATGCCTGTGTGGAATCAAAGCTATTTACAGTATTCAAGGGAGCCTGAGCAGCACTTTGTGCTCCACTAGCTCTCACTGCTGGCAAACTTTATGGAACAGACAATGAATTAAGCAAACATTTAACCAGATTTGGGTCAGCAGCTGAAGAGAGAACAACATTTTCTGCATCTCTGCACTAGCTGGAAAATTCAAGTTAGTAAAAATCCTGCAGAGTCAGGAGGGCAGGACATGCCTACCTCATTCCACTATGAGTTATTGAATACCAGAAGTAGCCACCCCACATACCTTGCTTATTAAATTTGCATCTTTACCACACGTAATGGCTGAGCCCTGAGCAAGCAGCAGAGAAAACCACCGAGGCTCTGGGCAACAACACATCCAGGGGTGCCTCAGATGGAATTCCTGAGCCACAAGAACAGCTCAGGGTTCTCCAGACAGACAGGCCCCTCCACATTCCCAACACAGTCCCAAAAAACCCCAATCCGAACAAGAAACCCTACTTGGACCTTGGGCTCTGTGGGTTTGAGAGGGATTTAACTCCAAATAAACCTCAGCCCATGCCCCAGTCTCTCCAGATGCACAGCACTGCTCCTGAGAGCAGCTGCAGTTTCTCCTGGCACTTTGGGTGCCAAAGCTCTGTAAATTATGCAAACCACGGGCACAGGCAGGACCAGGAGCCATGGAACACTTAGATAAAATGCAGCAGAGACCTAATCAGGCACTTTTCATACCAGTAACTCCACTACAAGAAGCTTGAGGGAACAGGAATGATACAAGGCAAGCCCAAAGGCACCTTCTTGTGATAAAACACCAAGATACCACTCAAGGCAGCACTTTAATTACACAAGATCATAGAAAGGCTCTGCTCTTGCTCAAACACGCTCAAAACATAGCCTGCAGTTCTTGGCATGGTGACACTGGGCAAGGAACGCTCAGCTCCCACAGAGATGGAAATTTTAAAGCTGGAAATCCTTTCCAGAGAATTCTCTTCTCACAGGTTTTCTCTGAAGTATCTAATAACCATCTTGGTGTGGCCTTGCAGAGGAACAGATTAAACAGCCATCATTAAGATCCAAATCCTGGTCATTAAGAACCACATTCAGCTTGCAAACCCACAATACCTTTGCTTGTACTTCAAGGAAAGTTCTTTCCAATATGCAGTTTCCTCCTTTGGACTCGAGAAAGTAGGAATTTCTTCACTGTCCATGATCAACACAACCTGCAGGACACAAACACAGGGTTACACTCAGCACAAACCCAGGCAGATCACTCCAAAATCTCTGCTCAGTCCTTTCCAGGCACCAGGACTGGCACCCACAGGCAGATGCCAGGAGTGCCTGCAGGGCTCATCCAGCACTCAGAGCTGCCCCAAGGAGCCCCAGGGCTTTACCCAGCCTCTGAAAGGGCTCCTGGAGCAGCTGGAATAAGAGCAGAAGGGCTGGCTGTATTTTGTAGCTGCCACCAAAATTCCAGTGGTGCCACAATGTCACAGACATGTTTTATGAAAAATCCTTTCCTTAGGATTTTTTCTTCTGAAAGGCTGAGAGACCTCAAAGACAAAATCTAAACAATGATTATCTGCTGCTATAAAATACAACAAGTAGATCTGTGATTGGTCTCATGTGGTTGTTTCTAATTAATGGCCAATCACAATCTAGCTGTCCAAACTGTCTCAGTCAGTCACAAGCCTTTGTTATCATTCCTTTTTCTGTTCTTAGCTAGCCTTCTGATGAAATCCTTTCTTCTATTATTTTAGTATAGTTTTAATAGTATATATATCATAAAATAATAAATCAGCCTTCTGAAACATGGAGTCAGATCCTCCTCTCTTCTCTCATCCTAAAACCCCTGTGAACATCACCACAATTAGTGACCCTGAGTGATGAAGAATTCCCACACCACAAGGCCTCTCAGGCCCACAGCTGTCACACACTCAAATTCACAGCTATCAGTTTCCACTTTACCCCATTAAATGTTCTGAAGAGATTTTGCCTCCTGCCACCACACAGTAACTGCACTGAGGTTGCTTTCAGAGCTGCAAGGTGAGCAGGGAAGGAGGACGAGCACTCCAGGTGAGGTAAGCACAAACAGCTATGTGTGCACATCAAAACTCAACTCATTCTTCCTGCAGCAAGTCCTGGTTAATTCCCACTTGTGTCACATGCAGGTTACAGGAATTATCCACGTGGTCCTGCTGCCTCAGCCAGCCACAGGAAGATCAGCCTGTCCCAGAAATGACATGGTCACATCAAAGAGGAGTGTTCAGAGAAGTTTCCCACATCAAGGCACTGGAGATCCCCTCTCCATGAGGATCCTGCTTTCTTGGACTGCCCAGGCTATCAGCCAGCACAGGAAACACAACCCAACATACCTCTGGTGTGGTTTTATGGTTTTATATGGTCTAGAGGACACATCAGAGGCCTCAGCACACACCAGGTGTCAGAGGTGATGAAGGAGATAAAATGCAGAGCAGGACCAAGAGAATGCTCAGACCCCTCCAGGAGATGCACCATTGCTGAGCCCTCCCCAGGCAATCCCACAGCTCTTTAGGGCATATTTTTTTCTCCTTACAAAGCCAAGCCTCAAATTCTGTCCCCACCACCCCAAAAAAGAAGGGGGTGAACCCAAGCTCCAGGCAGAGGCTGTGAACAATGCCTGCACCGAGCCCATCGATCAGGAGAGCTGACCTAAAAGTCCTGACTCTAACAGCCATCACTTCCCAGCCAAGCCTGTCCCCTCAGGCTAAAACTGTCACACTAATGTGTTCTGTATCTCAGTGACCCACATTCCTGACACCTCAAAGTGGGCCAGAACAACCCCCTGCTTTCACCAGAGGGCAGCCAGGCCAAGCACAGCAAGGCGGAAGTGGCACATTGGCTCTCCAGCTGAGCCTGCAGCTGCCACAAGCCAAGAGCAAATGATCCACAGAGTGCCAAGCACCTCAAATCCACCTCCAACCTCACACTGGGTTCATTTAACGGCACAGCTTTGCTGCACAAGAAAATGTGTCATGGCTCAGGAGAAGGGATGGGGTTTCCTCTCCTGCACTGAGAAAATGAGAGGTACCTGTGGAGCCATTCCCATCACAAATTTCAGACAGGATTTTCTTTGGGAGCACTTGCATCAGCCGTTACCAAGGCAGCTAAGTCACTCCACAGGGACAGGTCCCAAGCCCTGTGCAGAAGCTGTGGATGTGGAGCTCAGTATTCCTGCCTGGACTGCTGCAGTCCCACAGTGGGAACACAGAGCAGACACCTGGCACAGCTCAGGTGTGCCCAGCAGCTCCTGGGCAGAGATTCCCACTGACAGGACAGGGTGCTGTCCCCAGAACTTATCAACACTGATCCAACCCTTCCACAAACCCCTCCAACCTTTCCCTGACTAGCTCTAAACCAGAGAGGCTCAGAGCAGCAGGGAGCACATTCACCCCAGAATAAACCAGATAAAGCACAGCACAGGCTCAGCTCCCACAGCTCAGGAGCTGGGTTCAAAAGGTGAGCAGCCAAGCGGGCTGTCAGTAAAATTCAGGATGTGGCTAGAAAAAAGCTTGTGCAAGTGTCTTACATAATTTCCTAGAAGCAGCTGAGATAAGCACAAGACTCCTTCCTGTCTGCTCACACGGGGCACACCCTTGGAGATCAACATCTGAGGGATCCCTGCGGGCACAGCAGCTTGTTCAAGGCCGGGAGGGGCTGCCTGGGGCTGCCAAGGACAGGTGGTGTGTTTGCCCCCGACTCCTTGTCCAGCACCTTCTCCTTCCACACACCTGAGGGAGGAGATTCAGCTGCCTCAGGAATTCTGGGCAGGAATTCTCCCTTCCCAGCCTTCCCAGATCTTCCCCAGCTCTCTCATCCTGCTTGGTGAGGGGTGTGGTAGGTCATGATTGCCCCTGCTCTGTGTGTCCCACCATCCCTAATGCCACCAGCAGGGATTTGGGATCTGCTGATTTGGGATCAGCACGTGAATTCCTGCTGCAGATGCCAACACCAGTGTGCACTGCTGAGCTCCAGCACTCACATCCTGCTTTTTGTATTCTTTATTATTTTATTTCTATTTTATCCTGCTTTTCGTATTCTTTATTATTTTATTTATATTTATATTTTATCCTGCTTTTTGTATTCTCACAAGGGGCAGGACAAAGGGATCAGAGCACACAGCCACCCTGCAAACCAAAATATCAACCTGGGAGCTGGGGCATGATGACACTTCCAGACCTGCTCCCAGCACATATGTGGCCATGGGAAAATCCTTCACTCTGCCAACCTCTGCCCATTCCCTCAGAATGATCCACAAAAAGATGGATTGTGCAAGCAGAGAGCAAATCCCAGGAGTTATCAGAGCCCAGCCAGACAACCCCGCAGATCTCATGTGTGGGAGAGCGGAGGCCCACAGAATACCAAGAGTTTAACAAAAAGTGCTTTGCCTCAGCCTGCTGCCTGTTGTCCTGGCCCTGGGAATTCTGTCAGGAGCTGAGAACCAGCATGGCCAGTCCTTCCTATTCAGGGCTTCTTTGCATACGTGGCACTTGCAGAATCCAGCCTTTGACAAACAACACTGAGGCTTTCAGGGAGCAGACAAGACAATGCAGCAGCGTCTTCCAGGGAAAATGAGAGCAGGCTTATGCTGCTGCCCCCTCAAATTCATTCCAACACAGCTTAGCATTCACACAGTGCCCTGGGAAAACACGGCTCCGTGGGCACAGTTCCAGCTGCAAAGCTGCTCCCAGACAAGAACTACCCTCAAACCACCGGGGCTCCTCTCAAACCCCCCCGACAAAGTCAGCAGGACCCAGCAACTCTGCACTGAGAAAAGGAAAGAACTTCTCCACGCTGCAATGACTCTAAAAAAACACAGTGTGGAGGTTAAGAACTTGTCTAAACCCAGAGGGGTTTGTACAGGACAAATCTGTTTTCCCACCTCGAAAGCATCCTTAAAACGAGAGGAGCAGTATCCTGCGGATATCACGAGAGCCAGAGGCTCAAGAATGCACCAGAAATAACCAAACTAACATGCAGACAGGATTTTCAAAGTAATTTAAGCAATCTTGCATTCAAAGCCAACCCCAAACCTCTCTGGAGCCACCTTCAGCTAAGCCATGAAAGCACAAGCACAGCTTGAAGTGTAACACATACCTTAAACAAGCTCCCCAGGCTCTCCATGTGACTGCAGTGAAGCTTGGGGTGAAATCTAAGGCCAAAACACTCAGCCTGAAATCCAACACGGCTCTCAGCTGGGACCCACCCCTTCCCACAGAGGGGAACCCACTCCTCCCGGCTCTCAAAGTCACCCAGTCCCTCACACGTCACGGCAGGGATGACTTTGAGCACTGCAAGTCACCCCAGATGTACCTGCAGCATCTCAAGTGGCTGCAGAAAGAATTCCTCCTGATTTTAATTGCCTCACACTCTCCCATTTAAAACCAGCTCATAAATACTGCTCTATAAAGAGAATTAATATTATTTGATCTTCATGAATTTCTGCTTTGTTCCTCACAACCCCATTTGCCCAAGATTTTCAGACACCCAACATGAAAATTTAAGCAGAAGCAAAGCAAGGCCACTCAAACAGGACCAACCACAGGGCTGAACTCCCCCAGCCATGCTTGGCTGATCCCCCCCTCCCCTCAAGACACCACAAATATCCACTGACCTTCGGAATTAAACAAGCAACCAGCTCAAACAGGACCTGATCAAGAAGTTCTGCCAAGCTCACATGTGGCCTTCAGCTCTGGAGATAACAGCCCACTCTGGCTATCACAAAGTGTCCAAGTGCCTGCTGGCTGCCAGTCCCCCCTCTCGGAGGCAATGACGCTGTCACGGAGGGCTGGCACCATCCAGAGCTGCCAGCACAGCAGCAAGGACTGTCCACAGCCAGCTCTCCTTCCTCTTCCTTGTTTTTGCTGATTCATGGGCAGAAAAGCGGAAGAAATCTTGTTTCCATCATTCTTCACCTTCTCAAACCACAAGGACCAACAGGTAACCTCCAGCTCCTGAAGATATTGATTTTCCCCCTGCAAACCCAACCAAGACTCACAGCAAGGCAACCAGAGCCCTTCAGCCAAAACTCAGAGCAAACGTGCACTGTCTTATTCGAAGATGGAAAACAAACAAACAGAAGGCACAGATCAGATGTCACCAATCAATTTGGGCTTGTCTGGCCCTGCTGGAACAGGAGCCGGCGGATTTCCATCCGTGCCTGGATGCGTGCCTGTATCCACGGCTGGGATGGAACTGAACCTCTGGGAAGTGAACCTTCCCCTGCAGTTCTATTTCTGAACTGAATGTTCTCGAGTGAACCACAACAAATGCCTCCCTCTCTCTTACAACAGCAGCACGGGAGCTGTCAGCAAGAGAAGAAAGTCAGAGAGCACAGCGTCAGCACAATGCTCCTCGCTCTGCTGCAATAATAAATAAATCCTGCATTTCCAATTTGGGCAGCGCAGGAGGCAGGAGATAACCAACCCTACCTGCAGAACTTGGTACAAACTCAGAAAAGCCTTTAAGATAAACCAAGCACTACACAGCAAAGCCTTGTTGTCTCAACAAGCCTCATGAATCAAATATAACATGTCTGCTCTGCACCACATGGCCAGGACTCATCTGTCTGGTGAATATTTGATATCCAGTCACAAGAAAACCCTTGAAGAGTGAGCCAGCACTTTGTTAGAAGCCTTGAAACCAGAAGAAAGGGACTGATGCAAAAAGCCTCTTCTCAGAAATCAACCTACGACTACCAAAAGTATCAGAATTTTCTATTAAAAATATTTATTGCTTTCACAAACATGGGAAGTTTCAGACATTTGACCTCTTCTTCTTCCCAAGTAACCTCACAGAAGTGACTAAAAAAGGAGAGGCTGGTGCTTCTGCTGCAGGCTCAGCAACTGCAGAGGTGAAGGAAAGGCTCCTGGAGATGTCCCTGTCCCAGAACACCCTGGCCTGAGCACTGGGATAATTTGCTCCCAGCTTCATACCCAGGAACTCCAGAGGGATGAACCCACACAGAGAGGAGCAACCAGCAAACTGAGCAGGAGATTCTGCCTGTGGAAAGGATTTGCTTGTCTCTGCCCCAGCCTCTCCCCGCTCCTGGGCAGGCTGAGGTGAGGTGTGGTGGGCACCAGGAGCTCTGATCCTCACCTGTTCGAACCCAGAACATGCCTCTGGCTGTCCAGAACAGCCCAGACCCCTGCCAGGAGGCTCAGAGACCCTGGCATGGAGCCCAAAACACCTGTGGGTTTGATTATGACCTGCGGAGCAAATTACCAACCTTGGATGAAGATCAGCAAGCCACGACAAATTAAATAGAATGATAGTGAATTTATCATGGGGTTAAAAAGTAGATTTTGGGGTTTTTAGAATGGGGATTCAGGAGGGCAAGATGGAGGGGTCTGGGTGTGTCCAGCCCTTCTCCTTCTTCTTCTTCTTGGCCTCCATCTTCTGCTGTGATGTTGGCACTTTTGGATTGGTTTAGAGTAGAAGCTCACTGTCTAACATAGGTGATAGGTATTGGGAAGTAATTGTAAACATTGTACACATAGTTTTTAGTATAAAGACATAACACCACCCTGGGGGCAGGCAGAGTGCCTGGAACTGTCCTGCTGGATGGACCTCGGCAGGGCAGGAGGAAGAATTTTATAGATAAGGTAAAATTAACAACCTTGAGACCAAGAAATGAAGAGCCCTGACTCATTCTTCAAGCACTGGGCTGGGAAAAGAGACTTTCCAACTTTTCTTGGGGTCACTCTGACAAGCTAGATATCCCGACACTCACCCACAGCAGGCTGGCAGCTGACACGGGCTGTCAGGACCTGAACCCCTCTGAGACCACCTAGCCACCTCCATCTTCAAGCTCTGCTGCTTTCAGTTCCAACCTTGAGGAACACCAGGGCAACCCTGGCAGCAGCAATGGCGTATCTGGGAGGCTGTGGCACACACAGCCTGCACCAGGGACAGCTCCAGGTCCCCTGGGCCTGCCTGTCACCCCAGAATCCAAACCATGATGACAACATCTCCTTGGAAGGCAGTGCCCAGAGGGTGACATGCCTCTGGACACCACACAGTGACCAAGGAATTCCAAGGGAAAAGCACTCAGCAGGATTTCTGCCAAAATGAATTATGTTGCTTTTACAGCTTTGAAGTTCTACCAGTGCTGGGAGGAGGTAAAATGGATTTGAAAAATAACCCCCAAAATGGATCCCAGACCAGCTCCCAGCAGAGAGGGGCTCTGAACAGAATATTAAACTGAATAATACACAGAATATTAACAAAATATTAACAAAATATTAAACAGAATAATAAACAGAATAATAAAAGTATCCCCCCAAACTCTATGTTGATCAGGAGAAGGAACCAGCACAACCTTCAACTGAGCTGTGGGGACAGAAGAGCCCTGGAGGGACATGAGCACATCATGAAAAATCTGCTCTGATGGGCCTGGCTTTGCCTGGGGTCAGGGCAGCACAGCAGTGCAGGCACTTTGTGAACACACTCCCTGGTTTATCTGATGATGTTTGCCGTGTCACAAACATCAAGGGCTGCAAAAATACCATTTCCTTTCTGCAGTCTGACTTTCCTGGCACCTCAAAAAACCAATGAAATGGGCTGAGGGCATAAACTGTGCTTTGTTCCTGTACTTCTTGGCAGCCTGCTGCCAGCAGCAGAGACAAGATTCCTTGTGACACCAAGGTCACAGACATCATCAGTCTCATGCTTTCTCTCCACTTTCTTATTTTCCTTTCCCTTCTCTGTCCTTCTCCACCAAATGAGGAATTATGTTATGTATCTGGAAACTCCAAAGAGTCAGGGGGAGAAAAGGGAGGGTTTTCTCCTGAAAAGGAAGGAAGGCTGACAAACACTGAGTCAAACACTGCCTCTTCCTTCACTTCTGGGACTCCCAGTGACAAGTTTAATTAAATTATTAAACCTTCTCACCGGGACTCTGCCTCCACGTATACAACAACACAAAAATGCACAGCCCAGACAGGAAACAGAGCAGATCTAAGACTATTAATCCCAGATCCACACTCTTTATCCACATCCTGTGAAGCCACAGTTAACTGGCACCATCAGCCAGCCTGTCTGTGCAGTCACACTGCAAACACATCAAAGTGCCATTTAAATAAATAAATATAGAAGCACAGAGTCACTGAGGTTGGAAAAGACCTCTGAGATCATCAAGTCAACCTCTGACTAATCACCACTTTGTCAACCAGAGCAGAGCACTGAGTGCCTCATCCAGGAGCTCCATGAACACCTCCAGGGATGGATAGGGACTCCACCACCTTCCTGGGCAGCCCTTTCCAAAAGATCTAAAAGCTTCCCAGACTCTTTTCTGCCTTGGGACAGCTTCTTCCTCTTACAGTTACTGATATCTCCAACAAAACACTGACCTTGGAAAGGCCACCAGCTCTCAGCAGGAACAATTCCTTCCTCAACAAGGAATTGTTTCTTGGGAGGGGTTGGAAAAAAATGCAAAGGAAGAAAAAAAGTATCTGAAGTATCCAGTATTATCCCCTACAGCAGTTTCTTGTATTTAACCACCTCTCAGGCAACAAATGCCACAGGCAGCCAAACTCCTGCACTTGTGAGCAAGTCAAGGCAGGGGGAAGAGAGAAGCCCTGAGTCACTCCCAGCGCAGAGCTGGCTGCGGGTGGGAGAGCTCAGCTCTGCTCTTTTCCCCCTGGGGACAGGGATGTGCCGGTGGGAACAGAGCTCTGCTCCTTCTGGGGACAGGGTTGAGCCAGGGGGATGGCTCAGCTCTGCTCCCCGGGAAGGACAGGGATGTGAGTGGGAGCCCGGGGCTCTGTGCCGGTGGGAGCCCGGGGCCGGCTCGGGGATGTCGCCGCTCTCCTCCCTGCGCATCCTTCCAGCCCGTCTGCTGCAATTCGGGTCACGCTCATCACCCGGGAGGGTACGTTCAGGCACAGCACACGGGGCTCTCGGGGAGGATACCAACCCCGGAGAGGAACACTGGCGGAATGACGGACGGAATGACGGACAAACACCCAGCGAGACCGCAGAATGACAGGAAGGGACCTGTGGGTCCAGCCTAGGAGCAAACAGCCGTGTCACCCAGCAGGGCACAGAGCTCCACCGCCTGTCCTCAGCACCCCCAGGGGGATGACTCCATCACCTCCTCCCTTCCCCTCCAGCATCCCAGCACCAATTCCGGAGGAATTTGTTCCTGAAAAAGACGCTGCGCCCTGGGCATATGATCGATCAGGGATTTTACGAGAATAGACGCAAACCACGCGTCTAGCTCGCTGCCAGTGACGGGAAAACGCCCCGCCAGGGCCCGGGACACCCCCGAGACCCGGCGGGCAGGGCCCGGGGAAACTCCGAGCTCCGAGCCTCGGCGGGCAGGCCCGAGGCAGCTCCGAGCCCCGACCCCCGGCCCCGCTCCCGCCGCGCTCCCGGCGGAGGGACCGGGGTCCGGCCAGGGCGGCGGCCGAGCGGGGCCGCGCCGTGACTGACACCGCCCGCGGCCAATGGGAGATGGCGCCGCCGCGCCCGCAGCCAATGGCGCGGCCCGGGGGAGGGCCTTGCCCCGTTGTCAATTTCCAGCCAATCGCGGCGCGGAGCGGTCCCGCAGCACCCCCGGCCCCCTCCCCGCCTGGCCCGCGCCCCCCGCCCGCCGCGCCAGGCCCCGCTCGCTGGGGCCACCCGGGGAGCCCCGAGCCGGGCCCGGCGCCGCCGCTCACCGGAGCGCATCCCCTGTCACAGCCGCCGCCGCGCGCGCCCGCCGGGGCCGCCTCATCCGGGGATTGGGGGGCGAGGCCGGCGCGTGATGCAAGAGCCGGCGGGGGCGGGGGCGCTGTCGTCACATGAGGGGCAGGCCCAGGGGCGGGGCCGGGGCCTGGGCGGTGCCGCTCCCCGGTGCCAGTTCCCGGAGCCGGTCCCCGGTACAGGCCTCCGGTGCCGCTCACCGGCGCCGCTGTCCTGGGCCGCTGTCCGGGGCCGGTGCCGGTGCCGCTGTCCGGTGCCAGTCCCCAATGCCGCTCCCGGTGCTGGCCCCCGGTGCCAGTCCCCGCGCCGGTCTCCGTTGTCGCTCCCCGGTGTCGCTCCCCGGTGTCGGTCTCCGGGGCGACTCCCCAGGGCTGCTCCTGGTGCCTGTTCCCGGTGGCTATCCCCGGTGCCAGTCCCCGGTGTCGCTCCCGGTGGCGATCCCCGGTGCTGCTCTCCGGTGCCGGTTCCCGGCGTCGCTCCCCGGTGCCAGTCCCCGGTGCCGCTCCCCAGTGCCGCTTCCCGGTACAGCCGCTCGCCCCTTTAACCCCTGGCCCCTGTCCCGCCGGCGAGGGGATCCCCTCCTCCCCGCTCGCCCCCGTCCCACCGGCAGTTCCCGGGGTGAGATGGTCCCGCCCTCCCCCCTTTGCGGCCTTCGGGAGCTGCCCCCTGCCCGTCCTCAGCCGCTCGGTCCCGGTGACGCCAGCAGGGGCTCAGCCAGGCACGGGCATGGACACCGTCCCTGCCCCGGGGCTCAGGACATCCATCCCTCGGGGCCCAGGACATCCATCCCTCGGGGCCCAGGACATCCATCCCTCGGGGCTCAGGACATCCATCCCTCGGGATCCCTGGCCATCCATCCCTCAGGGTTCAGGACATCCATCCCTCGGGATCCCTGGCCATCCATCCCTCAGGGTTCAGGACATCCATCCCTCGAGATCCCTGGCCATCCATCCCTTGGGGCTCAGGACATCCATCCCTTGGGGCTCAGGACATCCATCCCTCGGGGCTCAGGACATCCATCCCTCGGGGCCCAGGACATCCATCCCTCCGGGGAGCTCTGGAGCGGGCAGGGGTAGCTCCTCCTCCTTCCTCCGCATCCCGCGCCTGCTGCCTCGTCCTTCGCACACTGTGTCTGTCCCCGGAGCAGGGAACCCGGTGAACGGAGGTTTTTGGAGCTCCCCCAGGGACCCCCTCTAGCCCGAGGTGAACTTAGGAGAGCTGACAGCCTCCAGGGCCGTCCCTGTCCATCGTGCCTCTCTCATTCCCGTTTTCTGGGCACGGCGCGTCCCTCCGGGGCTGCCCCAGAGCTGTCCCCGCCGTTCCCGGGCTGCTCGGGTTCCTCTGCAGGGCTCCCGGGCGGGCCGTGCCCCGCAGCTCCCGGCACTGCCCCGATACTCCGGTTGGCTTTGTGTTTAATTGCCTGCCCTGTAATTAGCGTCCGTGCTGTCATTAGCGGTGGGCGGGGCGGCCGGGATGCCCCCGTGCTTCCCTCGGCAGAGACCGTGTCCCGAACCGCGTCTGGGACAGCCGGTGGGCACAATGCCACCACGGCAGCCTCTGTCCCCATGGCCACCTCCCATCCATCCATCCGTGGGTTATCCACGCTGCATTTCCAATGGACTGCTGCAGACAGCCCGAGGATGAAGGGCACACACCTGTCCCCAGCCGGGTGTCCAGCCAGCCTGGCTCTCCCCTGAACCCTGCACGGGCCTTTCTGGGTCACGCTGTGTCACCTGGGTGTTGCACAAGGCCAGAAATGCTGCTGAGCCACGTCAGACCAGTGGGCAGGACAGCACGGCTGAATCTCCCGAGACAACTGAATCAGAGGCTGCGCCAACAGGGGAAGGAAGCCACAGTGTCTTGGGAGCAGTGACAAACCTCCCTTGGTGACAAACCGCCCATGGAGCCACCTCATCCCTCCTGGGAGCACAGCCTTATTCCCAGAGCACTTTCCCTATACTCTCTGCTCCCAGCCTTGTTCCAGGACACCTTCCCTGTGCTCTCTTCATCCCTCCTGGGAGCACAGCCTTGTTCCCAGGCACCTTCCCTGTGCTCTCTGCTCCCAGCATTGTTCCCAAGACACCTTCCCTGTGCTCTCTACTCCCAGAGGCTGATGCTGGTGCTGCCACCTTGCAGGTCGGGGAACCATCCTGCATATTGCGGAATTTCAGGAGCCAGCCGGCCACTCTCAGCCAAAGGCCCCTGAAATCAAACAGCAGCCTTTTTCATGGCAAACAAAATTCAACTATCCCAGTTCATGATGGCAGCTTTCAGGAGCCACTTGGCACTGTCAAACCAGCCCAGGGTTGCAAATGGTGCCAGCTTGAGTCTGGGAATGATCCTGTGTATTGCAGAATTTCAGGAGCCAGCCGGCCACTCCGGCCACAGGCCCTCGAATAAAAACCTAGCTCCTCTTTCCAGGCAAACAAACCTCACCATCCCCGGATCTTGATGGCAGCTTTCAGGAGACACTTGGCACTGTCAAAGCATCACGAGTTGCAACTGGTGCCTGTGGGATCTCAGTCTCTCAGAACTGGGGTGCAGGGTGAACCAGACTACCCCTGGGGGGCTCGGGAGTCCTGGAATGCTGCCAGAAATGTCTGGTGGCTGGACTTTGATCCCACATGGGAGATGACATCAGTATGAGGACGGGAGGATTTCACTCGGGTGAATGGTGAAGGGACAAGTTAATTGGAGTGTGAGATACAGGGTTTAAGATCCCTGTACAGGGGGGTCTAGAGAGGCAAGATGGAGGTACTGGGGCGTGCCCTTCTCCTTCTTCTTCTTCCTCTAGGCCTCCATCTTCTGTGGTGGAGTTGGCACTCCAGGATTGGACCTTACTAGGGGAACACTGGTTAATAAGGATAGAGGGTATTGGAGAAAAATGATAAATATTGTATACGTAACTCCGGGTATAAAGATAGGTGGCCGCCCCAGGGGCTTTCAGTGTGTGTGCCCATGGCTGACTGCTGAGCAGAACTCTGTCAGGCCAAGAGAAAATCTTTTAGATAAGCAATTAATAAACACCAAGACCAAGAACAAATCTGAAGCTTCCTCTCGTCCTTTCGAACCCGGGGGCCCAAGGCCATCTTTGGGCTTTTTCCCAGACCATCTAAACAGCCCACAAACCCAACAACTGGCGTCCGCTGTGCGGGCTATCTCCCACCAAACCTTTCGGGGGGGGGAAAGCCCTGAAGAGCTGAAGAGCCAAGAGAACAGCACTGATAACTCCAGAGGAGAGAAGCCTGAAGAAAGAAAGAAGAAAAAGAAAAAACCGGCCGGGAGAAGCTGCAAAAATCAGCAGTCACTGAGAAATCCCATCTCTCAGCTTCTGCTGAAGACAGCTCGTAGCAGAGCGGCCTGGACTGGGACCAGAAAGGCGCCTCTGATCCATCTCTTGTGATCTGCTGGACGGAGAACAAGGGCCTCCAGACCACTCTGACGACGGATTCGGTAAGAAGGCCAAAATAAAATCATGGGGGCCACACTCTCCCAAGAACAACGGGAAATCTTATCCACCTTACAAAGTGTAGCAGAATTATATACAGAAGGGATCCCAAAGAAAGAATTAAAACAGCTGTTATTATGGGCAAGGCTTAATTATCCACTTGCGGAGACATGTTTGCTGTTCGAAGTGGGGTTTTGGCAAGAAATTAATAGGCATTTATATATTTTAGCAACAAAAAAAGATGAGACAGCGTTAAAGCTACTCTCGCCGGCAAGAATCATGTTACAAGGTATTTCAGTGCAGTCTAAAAGACTGGAAAAGCAGCGAGAAGCTGCGGTACCCTCAGAGAAGGGGGCAGAGCGGCAGAGCTCCGGGAAAAAAAATTGCTCTGGCTTTGAAAGGCCAGGGGGAAAGGGCTCTCGAAAAAAGAGAGCGGGAAAAAATATTAAAACCCCCGATCAAAAAATGCAACAAACCCCAAGGGCGTCCTGAAACTCCAGAGAGTGTGGAGGAGTCAGGAGCAGAAGGGGGGGAGCAGGAAGATAAGGGATCGGGGGGGGGGCCTGTTCGCGGTGAAAGCGGCGACGCGGCGGCGGCGGCAAACGCGGGCAGCGCGGGTGAGGATGAGGAGACGCGCACGGAGGGCGAAACTCGCAAAAACCGGGGTGTAGACTCACACGCGGGCGCGAAAGCGGCGAACGCGGAAGGCGGGCTGAGGGAAAATGTGCAGGCTCAGAGAGCCGCCGCGGCGGGACGCAGGAGGCGCGCGGTTGTGACGTCAAACCCGGTGCGACGGTCAGCTCGAATCGCGGGTAGAGCCGGGGTGCCGGCGGGAGAGGCGAACACAACGTCAGAGGAGGAGGGGTCGGATTCTGGGACAGACCGAGGGGCTGGAACCTCGGAGGTGAAACAGGGGGGAGACGATGACGTCACCTTGGGGGACACCGGAAGTAGCTCGGAGAGTACGCATGCGCAGAGAGTAGGACGCGCGCGGACCCGAGCCCGGTCCCCTGTGACGTCGCGGGTGAGGAGGGGCCGTGTTAGGGATTCTACGTCCCGGGGCTCCACACCGTCTCCAGATCTGGCGCCTTTGGTTCAGAGCCTCGGAGTCCCAGTCCCTTCCCTTCATGGGAGACGCCGAGCCGGAAGAGGAAGTGGGGCAGTCGAGATCGCTCCGTCATCCGAGCCAGGGAGGCCGGTGACAGCGCCACCTAGTGGCAGGAGGGCAGAAGTGCACGACATGCCGGGTCGGCTCGGCGGAGCCACAGCGCCATCTCGTGGCGAGACTGCAACAATGCAGCAATTTTTTCCAACAATATATAAAAAGAAAAGCACTTCGAAGAAAACAATGTTAACACGACAAAGGGATTATCCATCCACTTCAGGATTTCATGAAGATGATGAAAGCTCAGATGAAGAACAGCTACAAGGGGAAGATGTCATAAGGATCACAGCATCGGAAGGTGTCCCAACATGGATGCTATCAGCAGCAGAAGCAGCAAAAAGCTTCTTGCATTCATTCGATACAGTAAAGAAGAAATATCAACAGGATCCTCGAGTTTCTTTTTCGGATTTAGGAGCAAGGCCAAAAACCTC